GATGCTTATGCTCTTGTACCTGTGCCTACGTACGAGGTGATGACAGTGGGACAAGCCCTCCGCACCTTCATTGCATGGCCTAGACATCTAATCGAGCCTATTTTGAAAAAGGTTTGCATATACTTTCGTTAATTATCATATGTAGTCTCATACTGTTTTTTATTATTTCTCAAGTCAATGTTATTTTATGTAGGATGTTCGAAGCCACCCTAGCTTGCCTAACCGGTTCCTACTTCCCATACTAGTAAAGGTAAGGAAGTAGATGTCCCGTAAAATCTAATTTTTCAACTACTATCTCGTTGTCCCATAGTTGTATATTCAATCTTTTCAAGTGAAGTGGGATGTTGATAAGTTAGGGGTAGACAATAAGAACTTTCCCTTTACATTGACCACACCGATGCTATGGAGATAGCAGCTTGGCAATCGTTGTCTAAACATAGCAAGTGTTACAATTTTGGACAATGTAAGTATTTATTTTTATTTACTAATTATGTTATTTGAAGTTATCATCATATTTAATGTACATTGAACTGGCTACTTTAGGATGATGAATGAATTGTCGGAGGAACAACGCACCCAAGATGTGTATGGATTTTTTGAGCCCCAATCCATACAAAAATCGAGAAACAAGAGAGAAGAAGTTCAAATATACATCCAAAATTGGATGATGAAGTCAAGGAAGAAAGTTTACTTGGGTGCTTACCACCATCAGTAAGTATTTAAGCGTATGAAATTATTCGCATTAAATTTTATAAGTGTATTGTATTATCCTAACTTTTTGTAATGTAAGCAGTAAATCATTGGCAGCTATTGGTTGTTTGCCCAAAGCAGTAATGTTGTGGCTTGGTTCTCGCTCACTCGGGCAAGAAACCTGATGCAGATCTTAAAAACATTGTAAACAGTGTACACATTCTTATAATAATTTAAACAATTATTAATTGTTTTGTTACTTAATTGTTTCATTATATCTTGTATTGCACGCTGCATTTAAGGTTTGCAATACAATTGATGGAGTACACACAAGCAAAAGCACGACTCTAGATTGGATTTTTGTTAATGTAAGTCATTTTATATTTATGTATTATATCATTCATTTTATATGTCAAATTAATATATTATTTTTTGTAGTATAATAGGCAACCAGGATCTTATGAGTGCGGATATTATGTTATGCATCGGATGTGGCTGATCGTTGTTAGCAAGACTCGAGGATACATGAAATCGGGTTTGCTTAAATTTAGTATTCAATAAAAGACCCAGATATTGTGTCATTGGATACTCGTTAAATTATCTTTTTCTTGTAACATGTATTTTCGGACAGTGGAAGCATTGCCCATCGAGACCATTGACGATATTAGAAACACATGGGCCGATAAGTTTGTTAAAGTTAGAAGTAGACAAGTTTAGTTATTAATTTAGTACTTAGTTTAGTAGTTAGTTTAGTAGTTACTTTAGTAGTTAGTTTAGTAGTTAGTTTAGTTACTTTACTAGTTAGTTTACTAGTTAGTTTATTAGTTAGATTAGTAGTTAGTGTATTTGGTAGATAAGTAGTTGGATACACTATAATTTTGGATACAATTTTATTTTTGGATGCACATTCAATTGTTTATATCTTGTACATTGTCTGCCTGGGTTGTATTCAAATTTGCAGGTATGTATATATACAAACATTGGGTACCCTGTATAAACAAAGCGTCCATTTAAAAAAAAAAATAGACTTTCTACGTCGGTTGTGACAATAACCGACGTAGAAAAGCTAATATCAACGTCGATTCATACCATAACCGACGTAGTAAACATCAAAATACAGTGTCTTTTATATTCAGCGTTTTAACGTCGGTTATCCAGACCCGACGTTGAAAGTGTATATTCAACGTCGGGTATGAATGACCGACGTTGAAAGCCTAAACTTTCAACGTTGGTTATCTATACCCGACGTTGAAAGTGTATACTTTCAACGTTGCCTGATACAACGTCGATTGTATAACCGCCGTTGAAAGCCTTATATAATCGACATTGAAAGACATATCTGTAGCAGTGGTTGAGAAAAGAATAAAGAAAATGTTAGTGGTGAAAATTCAGTAAAAATGAGTAGGTTTTGGATGGGTTATTTAAGAGAGTGTCATGATATCTTATTCTGACTATTAATTCATCACAAGAAAGTTGAATAACCAAACCTTTGATTGCAAGACAAGTTTTGTTAAATTAAAAAGGGTAGGTTAATTAGCAACACAATTGAAGACTTGAGCGTTGACTCTGTCGGCAATTCCTCTCTCTCGCGAGTTTTGTGATGATCAAAAGATGAAGGTCCACTTCCCATGCCATGATGCCACAACACAAACACGAACAGGATAAGGCATTTGCATTTACGGGTTTCTTGTGGGGCTGTCGAGTTTGATTTGTACGAAGGCTACTACACCAATGTGCGTGTCTCATAACCCCAAAAAAGAAAAACCCTGCAAAAATAACGCCAGAAACTTTCAATGCTCTGCATTAAAGAAACTGGAACGCGATGTTTGTCACTCTTTTTTTCGAGTGGGGGACAAGCTTTCAATATTATCACGCGTACTCGTTTAGCCAAGTTGGAGGGTTTTTTTTTTTTTTTATATATTTTATTAAGAGTGAGTTGAATTTTAGATCGAGTAAAACGAAAAAATTGACCAACCCATACAAGGTTGTATCAATTCATGAATATTTTTGTTATTGTCTCCCTCAGAAAATATTCTACACTTTTAACCCTAAAATAAGATCAAATAGTGTAGAAAAATACTGTGTTATATACCATAGATATTAATTAAATATTGTGTTAGTGGGATTGGAACCATATTTGATAACATTTTATTTATTAGACGACTAATGATCGTGAGATTGATATTTCTTTAGTATGATGTTGTGATATGTTTTCATTGAACCCGATACAATATGAAATAGTATTAGTCAAATCACGACTGTGAATGAATACTGCGTGGTTATATATAAAAAGTAATTATAAACACATCATGTAACTAAAGAAATATATCACAAGATTGAAGAATAAAATTGATATGAAGTCATAATATGGGAGAATATTCTACTTATTATTGTACCGATACAATTTTAAATAACATTAGTCAAAATCACCCGTGGGAATATTGTTTGGTTGTACTAAAAATATAAATTAAAACAAAAGGAGCTATATAATTTGGTAAATAAATATTCATGAGAAATATTGTGGGATCCATATATTTGTCTAGTTAAATTCATAAATATCAATGCTATTTTGTTATACACGAAAAATACGCACACATACACACATATATATAAAGTTATATGATAAGATATTTATTATATTGAATATATTATTCTTTATATTATATAATAATATTTATGAACTTTATTTTACAGTGATTTATATTATATCTTGGACTATGATCCGGTATATATCGATTAACTATTAAATGAATAATCACGATAAGATAATTATAGGAATCTCGTCTGCAATAAAAAACAGTTACCACAAAATTCGTATAATAAAAATTAAGTAATTTAATTTTCATAATATAAAATAATCAGGGTCCAAACCTATAAGGATAAGATCTAGGAAAAAAATGAACTTGATAAAAGAAGGTTTGAGAGAGTTAGATTTAAGATAAGTGATTATTCAATCAGAAGTAACTAAAATATTTAACTATTTTAAATATAATATTAGTTAAATTTGTTTGTGTAATTATTACCTGGTTACACCTAACAAATAAATAAACAGAAAAAGTTATACATGTTAATGAAGTAGTGTATGTATTGTTGACATGAAAGATGATGGTGAGATTAATTTTTGTATATGAAAGTGTGGATATAATGTCTTTGATAGACTCTTTGTATAATATTTATAGAAATGTAAAATAAAAGGTAAAGCGTTGACCATAATAATTACAACAGTAGAAGAAGAAAAGGTTATTGAATAAGAGTGAACAGTATAATTTTACATTGACTTTAGTTCCTCCAGAAAAAGTATTTACTAAAGCAGAGTTTTACTTTGAAAGAAAAGAGAATTAAGTGATTATACGTGGAGAAGAAGAGGTTGAAGTTTGGGAAAAGGATAAAAAAAAGAGAGGTTTAGGTGAAAGGAAAAGTGAGAATTTAGAAGTGATTGGAGGCGGTTTTAGTACAAGGGTTGTTTAATCATGGCAGTATCTCAACGGTCTCATGAATGTACATTATATTGACCATTGTTTTGGATAAGGTGGTAGTACTTAGGGTTAAGGTTAATTCCGGAAAAAACGATGATGGAGATTAATTTGAATGGATGGGTTAAAAATGCAAAGAGAAGAAGCAGAGTGAGAGTGAGGGTGGTGCAGGAAGAGGGACCACGGGGACAGCACAATCTGTGAAACGTGGCAGAATCACATGCCCATCGCCTCTCCCCTTTCATGCATCACCACCTGTCACAATCCCATCTTTTCTCTTCCCAATTATCACATTTTCCATCCAATAACACTCGCTGTTTATTACTATTTTTTCGTTTCTTTATAAATATTTCACCTCTTTAAACCAAAAATAAGGGAAAACGAGAATCCCGTTCGACTCCAAACGTCACCGTCCGGATGATTAGGACGCGCCCTTTTTACACAGTTTAGTCAAACGGGACCGCAGTAACGCCGTTTCCTCTAGAAGCACCTTTTTCTTTCTAATATCATAAATTAATTTTCAAAAGAATTTGTTTTCCTAATATCATAAATTCTTTTGGTAATTAAAACTATAAGAATCTGTGAATTTCAGAAATTGGCATATGATTAATGGATTTGTTAAGATTTTTTAGCTTACAAAAAAAGAAAGTTGATATCGCTGTTGTAGGGAAGGTGCTTAGCTGGCATCCCGTTTCTCTCGCTATAGAGAGTAGAAGTAATGTTTTGTTTTTGGACAGTGGGTCCCACGTCGGATGGTCCTAAAATCGATGTTGACGTCTGAATCCCCGTCCTCGTTGATCTTCTCTCAGCACAGACCCCTCTTTCAGTGGGCCCCAGATGCAACTCATCTATTCTCTCCTGTACCATCGCTCACGTGACGCGTGGAACCACACGCGCCTACACCAACTTGCCACGTGGCCCGTTGCTGTCTTTGGGTCAGTGTTGTTGGGCGTGTATGTGAGGCGCGTGGAGACCAAAGTTGACCTGTCCCCTTGATCTCTCCTTCATGTGCGTCGTGAGGAGTTATTCCCCACTCCAACCTACGGAAGCCGACCACACATACTTCTCATATGCCACCCCACACACAAATACCACCCTCGCTTTTCTTCTTTATCATTCTTTATTATTTAATTCACTTATTTAAATACCATAGTGGAGGGTTGAAATCAAACAGTGACCACTTCCGTTATTTCATCCCAAAAATTTACCCTCCAATGAACCAGATATTTATATATGGTATTCTCAAATTTATACAATCATTTTTCAAAATTATGATTCGTCATATTTGGTACGCATGTTTTCATGCATATATTTACTTTTACTATTTCTCAAAAATAGCAGAGCACCACCTATGACAAAAGAGAAAATAACTTTTTAAAAGTAAAGAAAGTATGATACTAAAATAGCAAGCCTACGTGAGGAACAAAGAAAAGCTGTATTTGGGATGGATGAATAAATGCTAAAGCTACAATAGTGTCATCTCATTTATTAAGTTGCATTTGTTACATTAAAATAAATGCTCTCCTTTGTTAACTTTAGTGATTAGTATTTTGCCAAGAATATTTGTTATATTATTACTATTATTATTATTATTTTAAATAAAAGATATATTTGGCCATGGAATTGATTGGTTTAATTTTGTGAAATAAAATGAACTTGTGTTTGTTTGATAGCTCTAGTGATTCTTGGCTTGCAAAAATAGGAGGAAATTAAATTAGAGGGATGGTTTGTTTAGAAGTGAGAGATGGTTTTAACAGCAGCGGAGAGAAGACATGGGTGCGTGGGTGCGTGAGTGAGAGAAAAAAGGATTAATGAGGAAAAAGAAATGAGAAAGTCAAATGGAAATGATGGAGGGGTAAAAATGTGTGGAGAGGCGTTAGTGTTACTGGGCGCGTGAGGGAGGAGGGTAGAAAGGTGGAGCCCAGGATGATTCTCGGTCCCCAAGGCTCTCAATCGATGAGAGTACGGGCACCTGATTTTCTAGTGTATGGTGTCTGGGGTATGCACGAGCTGTACACTATCATGGGCATCTTTCTTGGCATTGCGGTGCTGCCACGGCTCTCTGAGATGCCTTTTACCTATTTCTTTGCCCCAACCTCGCTCTAAAAACCAAAACGCACACAAAATACTCCCACCCCCACTCCAACTAAATTAAACCACTCCCAAATATCACACTCACCCATCCAAACTTTTCACAAAATCAATCAAAATCAAAAATAAAAAAACAATTCCTTCCATTATTATGGCTTCCCTTCTTCCTTATCTTTTCCAATTTCCACCCTTCTCTCTCTCCCTTCCCCCTTTCCACCTCTCTCACTTCAATCTCCTCCTCAACCCCATTTTCCTATGACCCAATTCCAATTCCAATTCCATTTCCAAATCATCCCTCCTAATTCCAATTCCATTCTTCAGCTCCCCAATTCAATTATTCTTGTTACTACTGCCGATTCGTGATGAAGAGGGATCACCAAGAAAGCTGCGGCCGAGGGGTGATGGGTGAGTGTTCCTCAATGTCGAACGGGAAGGCCAAGATGTGGCAGGAAGAGCAGCCGCAGCAGGGAGGAGGGATGGATGAGTACCTGGCGGAGTTAGGGTACAAGGTGCGTGCCTCCGACATGGCTGACGTGGCACAGAAGCTGGAGCAGCTGGAGATGGTGATGGGGAGTGCCCAGGAAGAGGGAATTTCCCACCTTGCTTCCGACACCGTTCACTACGACCCCACGGATCTCCATGCCTGGGTCCAAAATATGTTAACCGAACTCAACCCCGAACCCAACAACATCATCCTCGATCCGTCTTCTTTCTTAATCGACAACCCCGAACCCAGCAACATCATCCTCGATCCATCTTCTTTCTTAATCGACAACTCCGTACACCCTTCCTCCATCCTCGCCACAACCACCGCAGGCGTTTTCAACGACGACTCCGAATATGACCTCAGAGCCATTCCTGGAAAAGCAGCGTACCCTCCTCAACACAACACAAACAACGGCACCACCGTTAACACCACCACCAACAGTACCAAAAACATGGAGGAAATTGAACCAGGTAACAACAAGCGCCTCAAGGCTTCCCCAAGTGGATCCCCAGACTCCGCGTCGGAGCCCACGCGCCCGGTGGTCCTCGTTGAGGAAACCGGCGTGCGTCTTGTGCACACTCTCATGGCGTGCGGGGAGGCCGTCCAGCAGGAGAATCTGAAGCTCGCACAGGCGCTGGTGAGCCACGTGGGCATGCTGGCGGCGTCGCAAGCCGGCGCCATGAAGAAAGTGGCGTCGTACTTCGCTCAAGCCCTGGCGCGTCGAATCTACGGAAGCTTCCGCGAGGAAACCCTGGATTCCTCCCTCTCCGACGTTCTCCACATGGACTTCTACGAGTCCTGCCCTTATCTCAAGTTCGCGCACTTCACCGCCAACCAGGCCATTCTCGAAGCCTTCGCCACCGCTGGGAGAGTCCACGTCATCGATTTCGGCCTCAAACAAGGGATGCAGTGGCCCGCCCTCATGCAGGCCCTCGCATTGCGCCCCGGCGGGCCTCCAACCTTCCGCTTAACCGGGATCGGGCCCCCGCAGCCCGACAACACCGACGCCCTACAGAAAGTGGGCTGGAAGCTAGCCCAATTAGCCCAAACCATCGGCGTCCAGTTCGAGTTCCGCGGATTCGTCTGCAGCAGCCTCGCAGATCTCGACCCGAACATGCTCGAGATCCGACCCGGAGAAGCCGTCGCTGTCAACTCTATCTTCGAGCTCCACCGCATGCTGGCCCGACCCGGATCCTTTGACAAGGTGATGGAAACAGTTAAAAAACTCAACCCCAAAATCGTTACCATCGTGGAGCAAGAAGCGAACCACAATGGACCGGTTTTCCTCGACCGGTTCAATGAAGCCTTGCATTACTACTCGAGTATGTTTGATTCGCTGGAGGGTTCTTCCTCTTCGGGCGGGATGTCGGAGTTGTACCTTGGAAGACAGATATGCAACGTGGTGGCGTGCGAAGGCGTTGAGCGCGTAGAGCGTCATGAGACTTTGAGCCAGTGGAGGGGGCGAATGGGCTCAGCCGGGTTCGACCCGGTTCATCTCGGATCGAACGCGTTCAAGCAAGCGAGTATGTTGCTGGCGCTATTCGCAGGGGGTGGCGGGTACAGAGTGGAGGAGAATAACGGGTGCCTCATGCTCGGGTGGCACACGAGGCCTCTCATCGCTACCTCCGCGTGGAAGCTTCCCTCGCCCGATTCGTAGCGGGTTCACTCGCTGATTCCCCCGAGTTAACCAGTCGGACTGTACACTGTAGATTAATTGGTTCGTGGATGATGCAGATGATGAAGATGAAGATGACGGTATATCGGTAAAATGGTTTGATTGAACTTGTTGGAGTGGAGTGAGTCAGTGACCGAGTCAGCCAGCGAGGCAGAAGGAGGATAAATAAAGTGAGAGGGAAGAAAAAAAAGAAAAAAAAAATGAAAAGAGAAAGACTGTAATTTGTAATTGTACTCGTAATTACCGTTTTTCTTCAGTGTTTTGATTTCCTTTCTCTAAATTATTATTATTATTACTATAATTATTATTATTATTATTACATAATTTGTTTAATTCCAAGTTGGATGGTAATGTTTATCTTGATGTGTGAGACTAAGCTATTATAGAATTAACTCGTTCACCGTGTGTGGAGACGTTGTTGGAGGGAGTGGTCCTGGTCCGGAAATTGATTGTGCTAGCTTTTGATGTCTCGGTTTTTAATAAATGAGAGAGGTGTTGTAATTTTAGTCGTGGCAAGCTTTTAATAAGTTGTTTCTTTTCATCAATAAAAACCCTGCATTTTGGTGTCTTTCTGTGATTTGAATTCTCTTTTTCGGCAATAGTTTCTGTGAATGGGATTATCTTGGTGCCGGGATGAAAGCGTTCTGATTTGGACAATGAAAATGATGTGATTATTATTATTCTCTGGGTATTTAACCACTCTACTGAATGAGGATTTTTGTTTTGATTTTCCTTTTAGAGCATATGATAAGATGATTTGATAAAAGATTTTCAGAATTTTTTCTGCCAACAAGAAAAGGAGAAGTGAATTCCCATCCAATGTACCTGGAAACGAACAATATCATTCAAGAGTTTCACCTAACGAGTTTTATTAAAAGTAAATTTGCACGCCACTTTGGTGAAGTCAAATGATTATTGTGATCAAATGCTTTGATTAAAAGTAGCATAGAAAGGTAATGTAATTTATCATGCGTTATTTAAGGTTACTTTCAATTTCCCTTCTCGGACCATGAACTCGCATACACTCACCACTTTATCTATCTTTTTTCATTTCCTGTTGCATATCATTTATCATATCTTCACTTTGCTGTTTATCCATAATTTATAGCATGTGTGTTATCATGTTTCAACGTCCACTCCTTCTCTTAAAATAAAATTCCTCTATTTATCTCGTCTATAAAATATAATATTTTAACACCTTTATTTGTAGTTGAACTCGTAACTAAAATAATTTATACTCAAGTTCATTAACTTTTGGATGATTGAGATGAACTTATGTAAACGTAACTAGTTGAAAAAGGAAAGGTATTATCTCGTCTTATATTTTTATTTTTTTTTCAAAATTTAACTACTTAATGTTCTTGCAATAGAACTCCCATGGGAACAAATTCCGACAAATATTCGTGATAATTAAATTTGGTATATCTTTGCAAACATGATTAATGTAATTACCTCATTTAACTAACGTTGTGTTCGAATGAAAAAGCTTTAGAGAATTATTCATTTTTATTCCTGTCTTGCCATTGTCACGTAATTTGAAAATTGTCCCAACTGAAATGGAAAATAAACCCATTTTTTAATTGTAGTTAACCTCATCTACTCCTTAATCTGCAGTTGCAACAATATATTTTCACATTTTTTATCTTTCTTTTTCTTTTCCATGGGATCAATCACTTGACCTCCTTTTTTTTTTTTTTTCTTCCTAACTCTTTTGTCCCGACACACACACATTCACTACTCAAAATATAGTTCTGCATATAAACATCCTAATATTTTCTCAAGATTTGGTCCAGATATGGTTCTATTGCTTATCCCTTCTGGGATTCCTACGACCTCATCTTGCAAAAAGGTGTCAACAGTAGGTGGCGCAGGATCACATGGTAAAGCACATGATCTGGACCATGCTCTGGTTTGCATAATTAAGGGATATTTCGGGAAATATATATATTTCAAGGATAATTCTTACAACTTTTGTTTCAACAATTTCTAACTTTTCACCTCATTTCCTCATGCAAAATTATTATATTTAAGCCATGCATATCTTTAATGCGTAAGGGTGTTTCACGACATAATTAAGGACACAAAAAAGCTTGGTGTATGATGGATAAAGGAAGATAATAGAAAGATGATAAGTATTTATAGAATGTTTAAAGTGAAAAAGTCCTTAATAGTTACTCATAAGATCTGAAATGTTGTTAAAAGTAGGAAGCTACAATTGTTGACATAGCTTTACTTCCGCACTTAAATCAGTATCAGATTAATATGGTAGGATGGGGTTGAAGATGAAGTCTGGTTGTGTTTGATTCCTTCGTGAACTAGGATACCACTTCTCTTTCGCTAACTCCAACCTATTTTGATTTATTCTCATATTCTAAAAAAACCACCATAAACTAAATTTACCATCATTATAAGAGTCATATTTATGACAAATTATTAAGTGATTTTGGATCGTTACAATAATCTCGTGACACATTAAATATTATTGGTTTTTATATTAAACTTCAAAATTTAAATAATTGGTCAAGACTAAATAACATATACTGTTCTAGGACCATCTAATATTCCAAACCCCTATTAATTACGATGTAACGTTTTTTAGAATGGAATCAAGACTTGAGTTATTAACTTAATTTCAGTGAGAATAGTTATCTTGTGCATTTATCACCTACTTTATATCACTTTTTAGATGGAGTATTTTTTTTAATCAATAATTTATCTACCCTATCCTCTTTATATATATATAAATTTAAAAGAGATCATATATTCAACTCTTACAGAGTCTAACCATACTATTTATTCCTTATTTCATATCTTGATTTGTAGTGATTGATTTTACTTCTCATAATTTATAGTTGATTTTATGTAAGTTTTCACGAATTGACTTTTAGTCACTTAACTGATTTAATAGTAAATTATACTTATCTAAAAAATTAACAAGGCATAAACTTTTATGCAGGCAACCATGTTAGTTATATCATGATTTCATAAAAGATATATAATGGGTAATAGTGACAAGCTTTTAAATTTTTAAATAATTAATTATATCTATTTTAATTTTTTTTTTTTTTAAACATAGTTTGACCCAACATGTTTTTCACCCCTAAGCCTAACCGCAAATCAATTATGACGAACAAAGGCATAAAAAGACTCGTTTTTAATATTTTGAAACGAAATTATTATTATAATTGAATCCTAGGAAAAATCCATCCCACGTTGTCAAATATATACGAGCTAGAATTGAACGAAAGTCAAAGAAAATTACCAAAGTGCAGGGCACACTATCATAGCGAATAGTATATATCACTCATTGCAAATTGACATCTCCATTTACCTCGTGTGATAAAGGTACAGTCCAAAACAAAAGTATGAGGAGTCCCCTATATATCATAGTTGGACCAGAAAAAAAGTAATTGCAATTTGTTACAGTATAATATAATTATTTGCTTTCGACAATTTCAATTTTAATTATTTAATTTGCTCAAATCTATTTCTATATATACTAAATCTGTGATTGAAAACCTTCAAAATCTTGGCACATGCTCAAAATAATGAGAGAGGACTAATAGATAATTAGTTTAGTGGTATATGAATTGGACACTTGTGTTTGCATAAAAAAAAATGTTGAGTGAGCTAATCCTACATGCGAATGTTCCTAATTTGAATAGGATTGTGTGTAATGAAAAATAATCTTGATAACCTTGAATTTTGAGTTTGGTTAATGAGATCTTAATAAATAGCCCATCTCATAATATATTATTTATTCAGAATGTAGTGACATTTTAAAAGTTGATGTGCATAGCTTTATGATGTAATTACTTTTCGGCCATATATAATTATTTAGTATTATATATGCAGAACTAAAGTGATGGTGGTTCAATGAAAAGAGAGATTTGTACACCACTGAAAGAAGTCGTTATTGTAGCTTTTGTAAAAGTAAATTTTTTGTTTGGTTTATGAAAGATTGAAAGAACATAGCACCTACACTCTCATAATTTGAATATGGCACATCTTCTTTAGGTATTTTTGTTTGGCACTATGATGATGATTTAATTTGGGCGTAAAGGAGGAAATTAGGGTTGTTGCTATGAAGCAAGGTATTGATAGTGATTGACATAAAAAAAAGAGGGAAGGTTGGTGGATGTTTATCCTATTACTTAATCACACATGTAGGTAGAGGACAGCTAATCTATGAGCTTTAAAGTTTAAACCATCACAACACAAAGCTATCTTTATCTTGTGGACAAACTTATTTTATTTTTTATTCTCAATTTATTTAAAAAAAAAAACTTAAATGTGTTTTCAAAGAAGAAAGTGAAATAATTTCTATAATCCATGTATTATTATTATTATTTTGAATCTCATATTTGAATGATCATAGAGAGAAATAGATTATGATCGTAATTTAGTTATGTGGCTTCATATTTTTTTCAAACAACTAAATTATTCAGTGTTGCAAAATTTGAAACTTGTGCCTAGGCTAAACAATTTCCCCTTTGGGTTGGTACATAAGATTGAGAATAGCAAATCCTTCCTTGGCGAATATGTTAAAACTAGAAAGAAAATCATGATGTAGTGTCTCTTTACAAGGCTTCATAAGAAAGATTGTTCTCTTCTTATCACAAGTTTTGTTTCTCAATTTGGTTCTATGGAGAGGAAGGGTGGCTTATAATGACTAGCCTTTATTGGTTCCCTGTGATAAATATGTACTTGTGATTATGGGCATCCCAATCAACATTAATGATTCAAAATGCGATCTTTGTCAACTACATTCGAGTCGAGGTTGGTTCCAACTCCCTTTGCCATTCTAAGCTAAGCCAAAATAAAAGCACTAGTGGATGCCCTTAATTATGATATCAACAAAATATTTCCTAGTCAAAATTATTGCTTACACCAAGAACCAAGCCAATGTTTTATTCTCATTCTACCAATCTCAAAATGTTGAATTGGAAGTACTTGTACCAAACTCAATATATATATATATA